GGTAAACTGAGTCGTCCGCCCGACTTCAACCGGACTTCATTGCTGCTTGCTGCATTATTAACTCCGCTACATTTTAGACCCAATTAGGCAATGCTGTCACCATCAGATCTATGTGTCGAGCGCCTAGACTCACCTTAGACTCACACCTTGACCATGGATGTCCAGCAAAAGGGGGACATCCAGAGACCTAAAGGTACTGCAGCTCTTACAAAGTCGTGAATATTACCCTGATGCCCTGGCAGTCATTGATCCAGGCGATGAGGCGGCAGCAGCCAAGCTTTGGGCGATCTACGTCGCGGAGGCCGAAAAATATGACAAGGGTCTTGTCGAAAGCTGGAAGAGCGATATGGATGGGATGCTTATATTCGTGAGTGATTTCTGGACAATATTGATGTCCGAGCGCCGACAATTTTAATGGCGGGTCTCTTCTCCGCCAGTCTCACAGCGTTCATCATTGAGAGCTACAAGACCCTGATCCCCGACCCTGGAAACTCTACTGTACAGCTCTTAGCCCAGATCTCACAACAACTCACAGCAGCTGCAAACGGCAGCACATTTCAGGCGTCTACATCTTCCCAATTCATCCCGCCTGCTTCATCACTCATTTGCAATGCTCTCTGGTTTATCAGCCTGGGCCTCAGTCTCTCTTGCGCTCTTGTTGCGACACTTCTCGAGCAATGGGCCCGGGATTTCATCCATCGGTCCGACTTACGATCTGCCCCCCTCATCCGCGCGCGCATTTTCTCATACCTGTACTACGGACTGAAGCGTTTTAACATGCACACGGTGGTGGAACTTATACCGCTGCTCCTGCATCTGGCGCTCCTGTTCTTCTTTGCCGGATTGGTCGCCTTTCTCATTCCAGTGAATATTCCCATGGCGGTGATCGTCGCTTTCATCCTGGCCATCGTTGCCGGTGCTTATTCCGTCTTTACCATACTCCCGCTGCGATATCTTGACAGCCCTTATCGCACCCCGCTGTCTGCCACACTCTGGCGGCTATTCCAGTGCCTGAAGCGTAAATTTCCCGGCCAGGGTGACGACTCACCACGGGTACCCCTGGAAAATCCAACGATGATCGAGGCTATACGTCGTGTGGCGACCGAGGCGTCGGAGGATCGCACGGCCAGAGATGAGCAAGCGCTCATCTGGACTGTAAAGTCTTTGTCCGATGACCAAGAGCTGGAGTCCTTTATCGAGGCGATTCCCGACGTTCTGTGGGGCCCCAAGAACCGACGCAATACATACTGGAGTGTGTTTCGAAACCTTGTCAACGATTCAGAGATCGCACTGTGCGCGCATAAGAAGCCTCTTTGACAGCTGCAACACAGGACTCCTCCCACTAGAGACCCGGAAACGTCGCCAAATTATATGTTACGAAACGGTCTGGGCAATTACAAGCCTCTTTACCCCTTCGGATTCTGCGGCACCCTTCCTAGAATCGTTCACAACGTTTGCCTTTATTCCATCTCCTCTCGAGAGCCTCGACTTCAACGACTTCTACCAGGAGATCTACCAGTTTGCTATCTCCGTCCAGGCCTTGATTCAATGGAGCTTGTTCCAAATTGACAAATTACGTCTCCAGGAACAGCTCCAATATTTGACGGACTGCTCAGCGACCCCGAAAGGCCTAGATGAGAGCCATATAGGCCGCGTCAGGGCTTTCATTGACGGCTTGGTGGCTAAAGGCAGTTATCCGATGCACATTCCACATCGCAATTCCAGAGTCCTGGGGAATGACGTCCAACGAATTTTGACTACTACGCCATATCTTATACTGTTCCAATATCTTGACCGTGCTTCACGGCTGGATGCTTTGCCCAATCTCTTCCACAGGACCGTCGCTATCATCCGGCCCTCCCGTGGTGTCCCGGCGGCAGGTCTAGAGCGTCTGAACTTGACCCTAGAGCAGATTGTGTCCGTTCAATTATCGAAATTTAACTCCACAGGAGCAGAATGGATGGACTCAGTGATGAATGTGTTGATGTTCCACTGGCCGCAACAAGATATGCCCACTTCTATGCCTCTCCACCCCGCCCTCATCCAGTACATAAATGGCCGCAGATCGAGCGATGCAGTGCAATATTCTATTGGACGCATCGGAAATGACGATCAACTATGGGACGGCTTTGCCAGGTCTCTTGCAGATCCCACTCTACAACCACCCCAACAGGAAATTCTTACTGCCATGTGGCGACTCGCTTCATTTTCGCCGCAGCTATCAACATCGGTGTTGCATCATGTTCTTGAATCAGCTGCATCCTTGGACGTCCCAGCCAACCCCGCATCCATCGTTGTGTTGCTCAAGTCGCTCTATCTGCGTAATTTGGGCAATGAAATGAGTGAAACAACTTTGTGGAAGCGATTCGCAGACCCTGTTTTGCCCAAAATAACAGCTGTAACACTGTCCTCAGACCTGTCGACTGCAGGCGGCGATCGGGATGATATATTACCCTTTTGGGAACTAGGTCTGTTGAAGACCCGGATTGCTGAGGCGGAGATTGTACTAATCACCGAGTTTCTCGAATTCTGTGCTGGGCCTGATCCCATCCCTTATGAGCCGGCCGCGACGCTCAGAGGCGTTTCCCAAGATCACGGCCAACATCTTGCCATCGTCCACAATACTCACCAGGCTCGACTTGCCGAGGCAATCAAGCATTCATTTCAGAGCCCCCGCTGCAGCGAACTACGAAGTGTAATCATATCGACTAGGATGTTTGACGCATATACCAAGCCATTTCCTCATTCTGTACAACCCTGGCTAGACCACAGGAATGCACGGGAAAGTATCAAATCGACGTTTGCGGGCTATGCGGATGCATTGGCCGCCTCCTCTGCCGATCGCGACTCCGTGGCCGACCATGACCTCCTGCGCGTCCGAGCAATAATACACGGCCTTGATTCCCTGCACACGACTCACACTGAGCCCGAGCGTACGCTTGACAGCCACATGGGGGTGAAATTAACTAATATTTGCTTCAGAAAGCCCGATTATGGGTGAATCGGATATGTCTCCACCACCCGACGGAGATTCACGGTCGAGTTGATGCAGGGGTATGACCGGGCAATGCGAGAGCATGAATCTGTTGCGAAAATGCGCCGGTCTTAGTGGGTGTCGGATTTCACAGTTTCTAAAAAACCAGACAACGGATAGATCTACCTGCTTTGTGTAATCTGTTCGCTCAGCTCCATGTTTTCCAGACCACATTTTGGTCATCTTTCTAGAGATAAAGCTGGGATATTTCATCTTCCCTGGCGCATTCGCTCCGATATCCAGCGGTCAAGTCCTTGGAGAACATTGGAGGTAACGAGTTCCGTCTGTAGGTTCGGCACCGTCTCAAGGAAAAACATTAATGAACCTCCAATGAACCTCCTGTGTCTATGCAAGTTCACTGTACATCGACGTCACAACTGATTATACAGAGTAGGTCTACAGCCCCAGAGACTGAAGGCCTCACGCAATGGAGCTATCAAGGGCCGGGTCAGTCAAAGTACTATAATTAGCTTTGCAGTGCAAAATGTTCTAGAAGTGCAAAATGCATTCGCTGGATAGTAGTAGCGTTTTTCGGGCGGTGGTTCTGGAAACGATTTTGGAAAATACTTTGATCAGAGCCGTTTGAGAACCGACCATCAATTTTGACCGACCCAAGTTGAAAGAGGTTCTGCGTCGAAAAAATACTGAATAACCGTGTGAGAACCGGAATCATCCCAAAACCGATCCTCTCCCCTTATTTCTCCCTCTTCACAGTTAAAATACAGAATCGCCTCAGAACCGCCGTCAGAGACAGTTTTGAATTGTGATCTTCTCAGATCTCGAGCCTCGCAACCCGGATATGATAGGGCGTAACTCTGCAACTTTCTGACTGTTTGTCCGGTTGCTCGGTGAAAATGGCGTGGCTTAACTTGGTGGGATCCCGTACCACTTTCGCTGCTCTGCTGTGTTCATGTTATTGTCATATTTCGCATTTCGTAGTTGACCACGGTCGCATCACCCACATAATGCTAGCTTCATCTTATTGTTTAACTCAGATCTGTTCCTCTGCATACACATCTCAGTCGCCTCGGGCCGGTGATGTTCTTGATCTTTTTCTCGCATTACATCTTTCAATCCTTTCAGATTTCGAATTGGATAGTGCCGCCAATTGTCACTGCCCGCCTAGCACAGACATATGTGGTGTGTATATCCTCTTTCTGCGTATGTCGTATCATAATGCCTTTTCATTCAATCTAGCATTTTATTTGCATGTGCGTTGAACATGGCCTTTCCGATGTTCGGTCAGACAATGGTATGCTGTGCCAGTCCTTTCGCGCATTGTAGTCTGGCGGTTCGTGTCGGACAGTGGTCTGAAATTCTAGGTTTTAAAGAGAAATTTCCTTTAGTCAAAATCACTGCTGTTTTTTCAGGCGTCATTATGCACTGCCTTTCCACAACAATATTTTTGTTCTTGAAATACGAGCAGTAGCCGATGTGTTGCTTCATGGGATGGCTGTTTAATTATTTTTCACATTTTTTTCGTTAAACACTGTGAACCAAAAAGACAAAAAAGTCTGCTCCAATTTTGTCTGGGTCCCTGGCGCTGGTTGAGGTGTCGACCGAGCGAAAAATCTGAAATGGGCCCAGTATACGAAACATGTTTTCTGTGGTTGCAGACAATGTTTGGTCAAGAAGCTGCAATGTAGAGATTGGTTAGTGGGCTCTGCCGCGACAGCGCGCTATAGTTGTTATTCAAAACCGACTGCCAGAATCTACTTATGAACCTTTGTTTGTCACTGTTTATTTCCGATCACCGCTCAACTTTGAACATTACATCTTCCGTGCACGTTTCCTCCGTCTACAATCCACTTTTGATGGAAGCCCGCGGCGTCATCGCGCTTGCCAACATTCATTTTATTTTATTATTTCCCCCCGTCACGTGGAGTTCAATTTCTTTTACTTTTAACTCTCCCCAGTGCATTCGGGCCCCCCGCATCATCCTCTCTTTCCTCCGTTGCCACTTAACAGCAGCATGGCGCAGATGGAAGCGCGCGGGGCCCATACCGGTTTACGTAATTAAGCGTAATCAGATACCCCGAGGTCACTCGATCGAAACGAGTTGCTGCTATGTATTGACTTTTGCATCGGATATTCATTTTATTATTATTTTGTAGTAGGTTTTTTTTATAGCCTACGAATTGATACTACGTACATGGAAGAAACGTAGAACGGCGAGAGCACTCTTCACTATTTTAACCAAATACCGTACTCAGGGCAAGGAGGACTGATCGCTTCATTTAAAATTGTGGAGGGGTGCTATACCGCAGTCATTCGCTATCTCTGCACCAATTAAATAGGGTAGTGTATGCCTAGCTGCCAAATGGAACGGAGGAGCGCAAGGGTGACAGCACAGATAAGTTGGTTTCGGAAACATATTCGGGATATCCCCGATTGTTCGCTGATTGCCGGTTAGTGGAAGTTGAACTCGCAACTGAACTAAACATAGCTTCTCATTCTCAGACACGATTCATGTTCGTGCGCATCGTAGGTGCTGAGCCAGTGCCGATGATTCATCCGACAGTAAATCATGGCACTTCGCAGGCAGGAGCAATAATCCTCCTACTACCATATGACGAGATGAGGGTGGCGCCGGTCATCAATTGTCTCAAAATTGTGTGCAAGGCAAGCCATCTAAGACATGGATTCAACCGTCGTATATCAATGGCAGATACCCTTTGTCCTTGGTTCATTGTGAGGGTGACGTGAGCTCGACTCCCGCCGACAGTCTCCGGAAGTCTTCTGCTTTTTGTCCTTCTCCCATGTATTGATCACATTTTGCCAAAGAAATATAGATGCTACACTAATAACGGTCACATCCACTAACCCCACACCAGTGTTCCAAAAAGAATTACACAACCAAGATAATTGAACGATAAATCAACCCTTGCTTCCGGCCTTGAATCATTCATCCTCCCTCTCTCCCGCCTTCGCCGCCTTATACGCCTTCTGCAATGGATCCCTGCTATACATTACAGTGCCCACGACCTGCGACAGCGCCCCGTTCACAATGCGGTTGTCCGTCGCCACGCCGTCTACCCGGTGGCTGATCTGCATGAACGTTAACACCACTCGCCATCGCTTCCCAACATAAGACCAACCTTACAACGCGCCACCAGCGCATCTCGCACGCCCGCGTCCGGTGCCGCTTCATACGCCTCAAACAATGCGTGGGCCGTGGGGAACTCGTCGGCGATTCCGCGTGCGGCGCGCTCCGTCACGCGATGCACCTGGTCGAGCATCTTCACCCATGTATTCGCAAGGTTTGTCCCCGAGCTCAGGCGGATATTGGAGCAGAATGGGAGGTGCGAGCGTGCGATCAGCCTGGTGCAATATCGGAAAATTTAAAAAAATTGAACATTAGAGGAATGAACCAACTTGTAAGGCTTGATGCCAAGGTCGGCGCTGAGGTCGTAGAGGCGCTCGACGGCGTCGTGAACGGTGTCAACGTAGAGGAGGTGCGTGTGCTCCGCCATCTGTAAGGCTGCCATCACACGTTCGATCTCGCCCTTCGTGTACTAAGTACAGTGCGGAAAAGAAATGTGAACACCATACGAAGAATTAAAAAGAGCGGCCACTGACGTGTATTGTGCCAGTCTTGTGCCGGAAGTATTCCGTGAGCCCTACAACCATCAAGAAAATCTGCGCCTGCAAACCACACGTCTCGCGCACGCGGCGCACGACACTCTTCAAGCCGTCCTTGTTGCGGATGCACCGCGCCAGCTCGTTCGCCTCCATGTACACGAGATACGTGAGCTCGCCCCGCACGTGCACCCCCACAGGTTTCCACTCCCGCGCGACAGGATGGTATTCTGCGTTCATCGTGCGACGCCAGCTGAATATATCGTGCCCGCGCACGATGTTTCTGTCCGCGACGGAAACGGTCATCTTGTACTGCGCTACATGCGCCCGAAAGGAGGGTAGGAGGTGCGAGTGCAACAGGTTGGGCGGGAAGATGATCTCCATGTTCTCGAGGGTCTTTTTCTTGTCTGTGACGAGTTTGTTCGCGGCTTTGTATGTGTTCTTTTCTTCCTTTTCGCGGGCCTGAAATTTGGAATATATAAATGCGACGAAAACCACAAAAAATGTTTACTCACTGTTCGCGCAACCTTCTCGGCCTTCTCGGCCGCCTTCTGTGCCTTTTTCTGTGCCGCGTCCTGCTGCTTCTGCGCCTGCGCAGGGTTAGGCGAGTTTATAGAGATAAATCCCACCAACCTTGGCTGCCGCCTTTTCCTCTTCTGTCTTGCGCGGCTTACGCGCGACCTTGATACCACGAGCGGTTGACTGCGCAAAGCTCATCAGTCGGTACATGGATCAAAGCGCCGCCACGCCACTCGCCTTTCGCGCAATCTTCTTTGGGAATTCATCGTCCTCACTGGAGTCCATACGATAACGATAATCGACGCTCGACGATCTGGACGAAGCGGCCGGACTCGAGTGGCGCTTCCGCTTGCCAGCTGTCTTTTCTGATAGTCCTTGAAAGAATGCGGGATCGCCCGGTGCAGGGAGCTCATCATCACTGCTGAAGACGTAGAAGGGCTCGCTATTGACGGATTTATGGGAGAGTTGAGAGGAGGTTGGAGGCAGCGGGCGCGGCTCGTCGTCGGAGTCGGAAATTTCAATCACGTCGGAGGAGAAAGGCATTGTCGATAAAACTTCGCGGTGCAGTGCGTAATGTAGAGGCTGTAGAAGTAAAAAGAGCGTGTTTGACGCGATATGGTGATGTGGGAAGAAGGAGATGAGTGTGGCACAAAGAAGGGGTTGAATTGGTCTTGTATGGCGGCGCCGTTTTGATGACGAGTGCGGCCATCACGGCACTGCCACGCCGCTTGGTTCAAGCTTTGCTTTGTTCTATTTTTGTTGCTCTGGATCCTGTAGTTATTGTTCCTGCAGACGTCTCTCGCTCATACCGCCCCCAAACTGCGCTATAACGCCCTCTTGCAGCGGTATCCGAGTCACATTGACACACAAACCACTGCGCGCACGTATCCATGTGGTTGCCTTTCAACTTGACGGTTTGGCATCGCGCTTTTGCCGAGTCTGTGCGCGCCTTGGGCACGAGCTGCACCGCGAGCCGAAAAGTCGTGCCGGTGAGTGCCGGGTGCGCAAAGCCGCCCATACTGTACTATTTCGACCAAATTTTCACGGATTTCGGATTTTTTACTCGCCGAGATGGCCGATAATTTTTCTTTTGAGTTGAGGGTAAAGACCTCGGAAATTTGGGGTGTCGCCCGTCACCTGAACATTTGGTCGAAATAGTACAGTAACCATCGAGTCGAATAAGAACTCTGTGAGGAAATCAAGTATTTAACAAAGGAAATGGAACCAAGAAGAACTCGACAGTGCACACAGAAGAACGAGGATGGCGAATTTTTTTGCGTCAGCACTGGGCCGACACTCGAAAAGGCGGGGTTGTGATTTGGAACTGAAAGGTATGAGAATAAATATTCTGACGACGTGTTGTAAATGCAATTATGAGACATTTGTGAGACATCCTGCCTCTTAGATCTTCTGGAGGGATCGCTCGACGCTGGAAATGCTCGTGGGAACAAATTCAAAGTCCGATGATTATAGAGACTACTGACGTCACCGTGACCATTCCGTTTCTTGCTCTTCCCTTCATGTCGTTTGCGTCGCTCACTAACATATATTGTTGGTTTTAACCCTTGTAAATCCTTACCTTACTGATCTGCTGTGACCCTCAAGGCCTAGTCGGCGCCTTGTCGGCGCTTCAGTCCGCCTCTGGTCTAGCCGCAATCTTCCTTCATGGTCTCAGTGGAAGCGGTATGCAATCTCTCACCATTCACCAATCGTCTGATTACGCTGCAGCCCCGTCCATAATTCTGCAGGTCTCACCCGCCGTGTACGGCGTCACCACTGCGTCCTTGATGTATCGGATGTACGCGACCTCAAATCCTTGTCTTCTGCGTCCACTGTACTGAATCGAGGTTACTCAGGCTCTCGTACAGGCGCACAGCCGATGCAAATGCACTTTCCCGCGTCAATATACAATATTACATACTCATTTACACAGCAGGAATGTGGATTCTGTGTGGTAAGTACCTCTGGCCGCTGGTGACTCTCATACTCACAATTTCAGCCGTCGCCGTCCATATCATTCTGCCCTCCCAGAATAATTCTATGGGGACCTCGTGCTGCGTGGCCAACGCATTCATAGCTATAAGATGCATCCCGATCGCGATAAATGTGTTCCTCCCATATGCGATCATCGCAAGCAGTGCGTCCTCTGCCGCTCTTACCAGAACTTCAGCTCAACAACCCCGAACAGTGTTCTCTGCAGCGCGAACTCTCCGTCTCCGCGCGCAGGCGGTCTGTAGCACGCGGCTGGTGCCAATTCCCTCTGCAACGGATCCTGGCCCACAACTCCCTGCTTGGATGCTGCTACATCTGGCGGATCTCAGGGAAGGAAAAACCAATTCTGTTAAGACTGGATCCCCTTACTTAACTTGAGTCCAATGTCTGAACAATATGAGATATTTGTTGTACTACTCTTGCTAGCTTTGCTTCCGCTAAGGCACTCTGAGCAGCTATTGATGCGCAGAAGGTTTTAAAGTTCGGAAAGAGTCTTGGAATCGGGCAAGAGGGAAGACCTGGTGAAATTGTTGCCACATCTCTGGTAGGCAGCGGAGTCCATGACGGTAAAGAGAAAGACTCGGTTGAATATCGATTGGACTCGAAGGTAGATATCTTCAATCTGTTGAATGCACACATGGTGATCTCAGGCTCTTTCTGGGCGTATAGTTTCCGCCTCCCGAGAGCTTCCCGGTCTTTCTGCAGCAGCCAATGCTTTTCATTTTGGGAACCGCAACCAGGATGTTTCGAGCCCCCTTGATTTTATTAAAACAGTGGCAACTGTGATGCCAGAGCGATGACATTCTCGGGGAACAGTCCTTCCACGACGTATGACTAGATTAATGTTGTCGAGCTGTTCGACCAAAATAGTCAGGGTCTCGGAGTTTCGGCCCTTTCCTCGCTCATTACCGCGAGATTCTGTGGTTCCTTACGATTTCGTCAGATGGTTGCGTGTAACAAGAGACAGATCGTTATTAT